AATTGGTAAACTTGTATTTGTGTCGGTGATTAATTGAAAACAAGTGCATGATTTGAGAAAGCCTGTACTTTGTCTATGGCAGATAAGCGGTGGCGCCACTAGCTAATCCATACTTCCGGCTAGTTTCAAGATGACAACAAACGATTGTTTACCAAACTAGTAGTTTGAAACTGACACTTTTTGGTGAATACGAAGGTTCTAAGACATTTTATTGTTACTCTAGACAATTTCTGTTACTCAAGCAATAACGGTAGGTGTCATGAAAGTGGTGAAAACACTGGAAAACTCTCGCAATAGTTACTTTAATTACACCGACATTTATTTTGTGATAGTAGCACCTATAACATGTTGGGTTCGCACTTGTATAAGGTTCGTTTCATAGTTCATAGTTTGCAGTTGGCAGTGGAGTACACTTGGGTGTGCTTGGGCATATTTTTCATGGTTTAATCAATGTTTGCTGTCTTGCTTCTATAATATGGATTAAAGAATCTAGTGTTTTGTTTGGGTTTTGCTCACCCCCACTTTGCTACCCATGTTATTAAATGTACTGCGGGTTCATGTGATTTCGTTTTGATAAAAGATGAGAAAAAATAATATATATATAAATTGGGACCGGCACATTTTATCAGGAGTTAATAATGAAAAAAATATCAGGGGTTAAAAATGATAAATGAACAATGTCATGATTAACCCCTGATTTTATCTGTAAGTTATCAGGAATGAGCTGCTCTCTAATTGTTGCGCTATTGCAGATGTATTTCTGGGAACATATAAAGGCGAGAAGGTCGCAGCGAAGCAACTGAAGGAGCAAACGAGATCGTCGCAGCTCTTTCTCGAAGAAGCTTCGGTGATGACGTGAGCGACCCGTGTTTTATGAGAGCGAAGGTGCCCTCCTTCAGCTCTTAGACTAAGAAAATGATGGCACGTCATAGACTGACCACATTTGTCTTATCTGCCTGTCAATTATTACAGGCAGTTCTACCCTGTCAGTGTTACAATAGGGTGTTATGAAAGCAATGCTTGGAAAGGTAGTCCCCACGACGTCGATAATTTGGTCTGCATGCATAGGAATTTGTTCAGCTTCACCGACTGAGCAACAGTATCAAGTGGGTATGGCTATCTCGCTCAGACAAATAAGTCAGTTTGTTATCTCGTCGGCATTCAATTGTGTGGTTTCATCACTCCGCTCTGTGCCCACCTATACCAAATACACACTTACATGCAGGTGTGATCACTGTAACTGATGTGCCAATCAAGGGCATATTCCTTTTATTATGCTCAGCTTGTTAGTGCATATCCCATTTAACTAATTTATAAAATCAAGTCAGGTACATCCAATGAATAATATAACAGTAAAAAAGTCAGCCAATCTATTCAGCCAAAAAATTCATTTTTATCCCATCTTGTCTATATAATAGTTCTTATAATGCTTCATATTTTTCGATTGAATTCAGGATGTAATAATTGCGTATTCATCTCAGGATGTAGTTTAGGAATTCAAATCTAATTAGACCAGTGTGCATACTTATAAAAAATAATTCTGAAGATTGCAGAACTATAAGCGACAATTAAATTTCAAATGTTATTATAGGAGGTGTAATTGCTCGGTAAAGTCGTTAAAAGGCAGTTAAAAGTCTGTAGGAAATGCATTGAGCAAACTAATCTGATTTGCTCAATAGATGGCGCAACGTGCCTATATGTTATATTCACTTACTGCACTAGGAGGGTGCACGGGTTAATGGCTAGTAGGAAATCACGAGTCACGACACCAAAAAATTTTGACTGTGTGCAGAAAAACGTTCTATTCCGTGTGAGTTGCATTCACATGAAAAGAAAGAAGTATGTATATCATGATATATGGCCGTTTCATGCCTTACACAAGTGTCTGTTCCGAAGAGGTGGTGGCCAAAAGGTTCGACTGTAGTTCATTTGGCACAGTTGGTTGCATCGATTACTCTAGAGTCCAGATGAGACGGGATACTAGAGAAGCGTTGCCGAAAGGAGATGTTGATCCAAAGCGCTTAAGCGCAGATCTTGCGCACAGTTCCGCGGCAAGGCGCACGCGACCGCGGGAACATCCTACGACAGTATGCAGCGCTGGCAGCTATGGATCCGTGCGCCGAATGAATTGGCCGGCGTACGGATCCATAGCTGCCAGCGAACAGTCCGCAATTTTAGTGGGGGACACAGAAGGTAGACATTTGGGACGTGAACAGTGTTCACTTGTTATAAAAACATAATTTCTCTCTTCGTAACCGAGCTGTGTGACGCGAAATCACAGAAAGACTGACGAAATTCTCGCGTTCGCGAACCTTGCCCAGTAATGGAAATGGCTGCAAGGACAAAGGCTATAGAGTACCGAAGTGTGACGTCACGTTGGCAAGACAACGTACGGGCTGGTTCTACAAAAGCCACTGGCTCCATAGTGTAGCCATA